ACACACACATTGCTGCAGTGAGCTGCAAACTGCAGAATCAACACCCACTCAAAGGGTGTCTATCGATTGCGGTCCCTACTGAAGGGGGGATGTGGCCTGTTCTGGCTCAGATCAGGGCGCTTAGCCCCTCGAAGGTGCTTGTTGGGAGCACGGCAAAATATTTATTCACAGTTCAATAAATAAAACTCCATGTGCCGGGCCAAGGCAGGCAGCCAAGTCGTGAATCTAATGGCCTGGTATCCATCCACAACCAGCCAGCCATCCATCTGTCGGGCCAACAAGCGGTAGTTTTAAATAAGAAATGAATACAACGCCTTTGTTCGGGAGCGCCGACTTGGACTTAACTTTAAGTTTGATGGGATTGCGAATGGCAATGGGATTGGGACTCGGATTGGGAATGGGAATGCAAAAGCGAATGCGAATAGGATTGGGATCCGGAGTGGGTGCAAGTAGAGTTGCTGCTTGAATTTGAGTTTTAATATGGCGTATATAGAGCCGTATTTGCTTAGCTTATACCCCGGTTCCCCCGCCCGATACCCCGAGCATTTAACACTTTCTATTTACTACCGCAAGCCAAGAGCAATTGAAATACTCGTTTTGCACAGGCAACGGCAATGGTAGAACGACTTAAGCACATTTACCCTTCCAAGCCATGAGCCATGAGCAAGAAACTTAAAGAAAATCGCTGCACTCGGCGAAAAGAAAGCCAGATGAGTTAGTCTCTACTCCTTTAAAGTTTGTTGCTTACATATTTATAATTTCAAGGATTAACCTTGCAATTAACTTTTTCTTTCAAGACTTTCTTTGCTTAATTCTCACCTGAAAATTGCGTTCCATTTAGAGTTTTTTTTGGCTTTTCTCAGTGTGGAATTACGGAAGCAGAAAGGGGATCTTCTCGGGCTTACAACAATAATGTTGCAGCAACGTTGATTGGGCTGCATCAAAGCGTCGCAAGCGGCATTAGGAAGTGCGGCCACGTCTGGATCAGGATATGGATGTGGATGTGCATGTGGATGTGGATCTGGATCCCAGAGCCAAGAAATTGTTATGACCCAGAGCAAGTGAATGTCCGTCCGTCGTTTTTCTATTTATCTATCAGCTTGGTGTGCATGTGAGAGTGTGAGACTGGTTTATGGTATTCCTCAATAACTGTTGTCTTGTGTTGGCTAAACAACAATATCCTAGAAGCAAGGAGCAAACAAATTGCAGAACGTGAGGTGCAGTTCAAGAAGGGGACGGAAGGGGAAATCGGGCTAATTGGTAAAACTTCAACGAGCCATCGAACTGTCAATTGTCAAAGGGCAGCAGGTCGAATCAGGCCGCAAAGCAAGTTTAAGAAGTTGGCAAAAACATAATTCGCCAAGAGCCCCCGGGGGAAAAGTGCCATTTGCCGAAAGGGAAGTTTTGTGGGGGAGGTTGCAGTTTATGCCTAAGGAAAGGGCCTAGGCCAATAATTTAAGAAGTTCACGCTACACAAAGTTCAAGTGAAGTATGCCAGGTCCTGCCTGCCTGCCTGCCTGCCTGCCTGCCTGCCTCGTCCTGAAAGATGGCAACCGGAAATTTACTGCAGCCACGAACGGCAAATGGAGCGGGTGCGCCGAAAAAGGGTCCTGCAACGGGGTAAATACGAAGGACCGTGCAACCCGCAAAGCTCCCCGAGGGGAATGTTCCGCCGAGCGAAATATGCACATTTCCACACTTAATAACAAAATATGTTAAACAAAATCATTTGATGTTGGGCGTAATTTTTTCAACGGTGTATGTATGTGTGTGTCTAAGGGCCGTTGCCAACACAAACCCACATCACTCACACACACACTCCACACTCACTCACACTCACATGAGCGCGAAACACATGTTTACATGCAAATTACATAAAGCAAGCGGCAGCAGTGGCAAACAAACGCAAATTATATGCTGCATACTTTTAGGCCTGCGACTCAGACTGTGTATATCGAGTTACCAAAGTAAATTGTATGGGGATGTTTCCCCCCTACATCCATTTCCGCAGAAAAACGTCGTCCAGACAATGTCGCCTCGCTTCCTGGGGTCCTTCAAGGACCCCGACCTACGTCCCTCCAGCATATATGCAAAACATTTTTCGTTTTGTATATACCCTTGCGTAGGGTATTATTGTCGAACTTCCGCCAAGATATAATAATGTGGGTGCTCGAGTTTCTTTTAGGGATTTTTCCAGCTAATGCCAGAATTGTTTGAATTGAAGTTGAGGGAAATTGTAGATATAGAATGTGAAATGTACATATTAAAAAATAATTAAACCAGAATTTATCAACAGCTTTAAAGAGAGAAAAGGAGAGCGGGTAATAGAAAACTTTTAAATGATTAATTTGCTTTAAATTTACTTAAAAAAATAACAACAACCGTAATGATTTTAGTTTGATAACTACATCCACATAAAACCGTACAGAGTAAGGAAAACTTCGGTCTTTAAAGTCCTTTATAATATAATTTCGTTTCACCGCCCTCAGTGGAAAGTCGTTGGAACAAAAAAATACAAAAAAAAAATGGAAGAAAAAAAGCCACAGCGGCGTAACATGTAAACAAACTCATTTAACTGATTTTCAGGAGGGAAAATGTGGCTCCTGGGCATGGTGGCTGGTAATGGGGCGGCGGGTGTTGTTAGGGGGGGTTCTTCATAAGGACTCGGAGTGGTGCTGGAACGACCGCATTATCATCATCATCTCGGCTCGGCTCTGCTTTTTGCCCGCAACTCTTTTTTTTGTTTTTGTTGCAGAAGGAGCAGAAGCCGTAGCAGCAGCTGCCGTGGCCGCAACCTGGGGCTAGATTTACATGTCACTCGACTTAAGTTGGGCCTTGTCCCAACTGCTCCTGCTGCCGGTCCAGGACCTAACCTAACCACACCTCGCCGCACCTCGGCTCTCGCCGTCAGTCGTGACCACGGCGACAAGTTAACTTGCTCGGCACAGTATCTGGGATCCAGGATCCGGGATCTAGTATCTAGTATCCAGGATCCCTTCATCTCCTCCCTCCTCCCCCAAGCTGTGCACATAATCTTAGCATAATTTCCAACTCAGCTTTTTCTTGTGCGCTCTACTCCGTTTTTTTCTCCACTTCACTTTGGCAAACGTGCTAAGCGACAAAAACGGCAAATGTCAGCAGAAACAGGGAAATAAACTAACTACAATTTCATCCCATTTCTTTCTTTCTTTTTTTATTTTTTCTGTGCCGCTGGACACGGCTGTGACCATTTGTTTCTCTCACAGGATCCGCACATAAGGCTGTATAGAAATGTCCAAATTATGCAGTTTTTATTGTCAGTATATGGCCAAGTAAGGTATATATGTACATATCTGTACCTACAGACAATTCAGTTTCAAACATTTTAATAATAACTGGCCCAAAGAGGAGCCTGTGCCCCTCCCTCCACCAGACCAAGTTTCGCTTTGAAATTGGACCAACAAAAGCGCAAAACTTCGGGGGAGCTTTCATGTGTACAAAATCAAAAGGATAATTGAGACATGTGAACAATATCCCTAAGTGCGAGAGCCCACAGCAAGCCAGCCCGACCCAATGAAAGGTCGCACATCAAAGGTGGTCCCCCAGACAGTTCGCCGCTTACCCCAGATGAAAAGCAATTAACAAAAGTAAAAGCAGGAGAAGAAGCACGGGTGGGGACTTGCCTCAGCAGAAGGAAAAAATAAATACACAAGAGGTGGGGAGCATGGAAAAATATTAAATGCTTGCAGCAGGGGGATGCCACCAAGAGGGGAAGTAGGAGCGGAGCACAGACATGGGCATCTCAAAAAAGTGCCAGGCACTCACAAAACTGTTCCAAGAAAGTGGCGGTGTCAAGGGGAAGGCAAGAGAAATGCTACACTGGAAGTTAAAGTTTGATTAAAAAGCTTAAATTGTCAAAGAAAGTCATTGGTTTTTATAGTATGAATATATTTTTGATGTAGATATAAACATAGTTTTCAGAAATACTGATAAGTATCCCTTACATACCCTTTCCTCAAGACTCTCATCTATTCTTAAACCTGTGATTTTCACATTTTAAAATTGATTTCCATTGATCCCTAGAAGCTTATTATTTCTCCAAGTGTACGAAAAGTATAAAATGGGAGTGTGAGTCGCTCCACACACATACGCACGACAAAGCAGAATAATAAATTTCAATTCAGACGACGACATGACGTCTCTGCCTCACGTTGACGTCGACGTGCATGTTGATAAGAAAGCGTACAACCCTTCCAGCATCACCCTACCCCCTGAAGCTACCCCTTTGGTTGGGTAGCTGGGGGCATTCGCTTTAGCCTTGGCTAAGCCTCTCGGCCAGGTCGTCATAGACGGGGCAAAAAAGTCTGAATGCGAGTGGGAAAGTGGGAAAAAGTCGCGCATAAATGGCAATGGGGGCTCGTTCAGTGACTGCAGAAAAGGAAATGCGCAACGCAGCCCAAAGGTGTCAAGCGGAAAATAAAGCATAATAATAGCTGCAGCCAAGGAACAAAGGCCTCAACGGCGGATGGCGGATGGGGACAGGACTCAGACAGGCGTCAGTCAGTCAGTCTTTCAGTCACCTAAGGAACGGGGGGTGAACTAAGGTGACACATTATCCTTCTGACAATACCATCCTGCTAAGTTCAGCATATGTACGTTCATAGTGACCGGCCGCAGGCAGGCGGAGGAAAAAAGCCCCAAATGTGCTAATAATTTATGCAAAAGCCTCTGCCAGCTTCAAAGAAAATTCTAAATGAGACGCTGCTCCTTCTCATAACCTGGTCATGAGCTTCTAAAAATAAAGCCTCAGTTTACAGAATGATATCAGAACACTCCTGCAAATGTGATTTCTTTAACTTTCATGATTTTGTTGTGGCGTAAAGCAAAGTCTAACCAAAATAAATAAATAAATACAACTTGACATGTTTTGAATATGAATACAAATAAATACAAATAATACGAAATTCGTAACATATATAGGAAATGTGTAACTAAACCAAATGTATCTTGTATCTTTCCAGACTTATGCGAATAAGATGCCAAGGCTCGACTCCCGACCGAGTCCAGACCTAGATCCCGAGTCCACATCCGTGTCCTCGAGCAGGACCCTAAACTCCTTGATGAGGACACTCCGTAACTGATTTGATTTGAAGGAACGGAACCAGCGGCTGAAACAATAACTGCAATATCAGCGGACAACAAAACCAATTTGCAGCGGAGGGAGCGGGAAGAGCGGAAAGAGCGAGAGCGTTGGAAATTGTGTACATATTTTGTCTCTGTCTGTTTCCGGTCGCCATTGGACGTGAATGTGTGTGTCTGTGTTTGTGAATTTCGTGTAAATAAGTGCAATGCAAAAACAGAAACAGAAACAGCAAAAGCAACAGCAACAACAGAGGAAACAGGAATAACAAGCGAAATGGCAAAAAGTGCAGTTAAGCGTGGAAATTGCATTAAAAATTGAGCAAAAAATTGAAAAAACAAAAAGCGGCGAAAAGACAAAAAAAAACGGAACAAACAAAGACGCAAAAAGAACGCTAGAGTTAACGAGCGCTAAAAAGCAACAAGAAAAAATCAAGCAAAAGCCGCGATTCAGACGAGAGAGAGTGAGACAGCGAAAAAAAGAGGAGCAAACTTTTGATTGAAAATTTTCACTCCGCTTTCATCCTTTCTGGATTGTGTAAATTTCTGATTAAGAAACAAAAAACCATCAACAAACGCGCGGCGCGAAGCGGAACTTAATATCCCGCACCAAAACCCCGCACCAAAAAAAAAAAAAAAGTGATCAACCGAAACTGGGAATCTAAAAAATATCAAATAACAAAAGGACAGACGGCACACGGCTTTGCAGTTCCTGTTTCGTTTCTGTCATGACAGTTCGGGCCTACGTGTTTCGATATTTTTTATTGTTTATGCACGGCAAGATCGCCGCCTGCAGCCACAAACATATCTGACTGATTCCGATACCGATTCCGCCGATACCGATACCGATACCACAACCATTACCACTACCAAATTGAGCCGTGAACACTGAAATTCGTGTGCGCGAGTGAGAACCCCACACACACACAATACAGAAAACACCCCGTGAAACTCGGGTCGTTGACAAAGTAACGCATTTAGTGATAAGAGCCAAACGACTTTTGGCAAAATGAGCAGACAAAACAGGAGCGGCAGGACGAGCAGAACGCACAGGAGGAGGGAGGGAGCCCAACTATTGCTCCTTATCGGCATCGCAGTCGCATCATGTTTGCCGGGTAAGTGTCAACAGCAGTCTCCCTGTCTCCGGTTTCCTGTTAGCATCTCAGACTTATCAGTACCGCCCCCTTCCCTTCCCATGGAATTAATGCAAATATTTAACGTGCTTTTTTATGGATTCGCCGTCGTCATGCTTGCCGTTTCGAGGCCCCGTCATAATAACAAGCAATAGGACCAGAGACTGAGCTCGGGGGGGTAGAGACAGAGACGGACCCGGACCCGGACCCGGATCTGGAGACAGAGCCAAAGCCAAAGCCGGCTCTCTCCACTTGACATGACTTGTAAATGGCTTTCGATTAAGTTGTCACATTAGCATTAATCTTGAGCTCCGCCAGAGCAGGCTTCTGCGAGCTCATTGGAGTTCAATCAAGTCGTCTGCCGAGTCCTTATCCCTCCTTCATATTCCCTCCTCCCCTCCCCCTTGGAAACGTGCTAATGAGCCGTGAGCTGATGAGTGCACTCTCCTTGAGGTGGAGGTGGCTCCAATACATACATACGTACTTACTAGCCAAGGACCTTTTGAGGTCCTGGATCTAGGTCAACGGCATACTCTCGGCATCCTACAGATAATTGAAATATAATTACCCAGCCGAAAGCCGCTTAAACTCATATATATTCATTATTTCATTAACAATTCAAGCCTTTTACACAGCATCACCGGTGCATTTTTAATGGGCGGCGTTAAAAACAGCAACAGCAATCGCTCCAATAAATATTACTGCTTGTTATGAATATGCATGCAACATTATATCTCACATGCATAATCCGATAATCATATGGGATCGTGGGCAGAGCTTAAGGCAATTACTGAAACAAATTGATTTTCAATGTAAGTGGTCATTTCATCATTCTTCTGCCAGTTTTGTTTGCGTTTCTAATCGAAGGCAGGAATGACGAACGATGATTTTAATGCCAAGTTCACATGCGGATTACGTATACGCAGTGTGGGCACACCCATAGAAAATTCCATTGCTACATTTTCGCATGCAAAACAATGTGTTGTTAGTTTAGTTTGTTGTTTTGTCCATCACAGATCACATAGATCAGCAGCTGGTCCCTGGTCACACGGTTCAAAGTCCCTTTCATTTCATTTCATTGGATTCCATTTTACTTTTGTTGCAAAGCCTTCCCTGTTTGATTTCTAATATTTTCCGTTTTCATTTTCATGTAGAGAGCAACAATTTCTAATTCGGTGCGGCTCTCTGTTGTTTGTGTTTTGGCTTTCCCCTGCTTTTTGTTTGCCCTCCATTTGTGTTGTTTTCCTAATTCAAACTATTTGAAATGCCTCAGTGGGGGAAGGCAGTCACAATATTTGCTATTTATCCAGTGAGCATTCGTAATGCTACAGCTGTGTTTGTGTTTGCTTTCGTCGCTCTAATTCGGCAACGAAAGTAGTTAATGCGAAATTAATTTCCAAATTGAACCCGGCACATAAATAAAACATTCGCCTTCGATTCGATTCGGAACGAGTGATTCCTTTTATGCTGCCATCCTCTCTCTCTCTCTCTTTGCTTTTATGGCAGCGACAAAAATTGGTCTCAATAAAAATTTACGTTTCATAAAATTTATTATGTATGCCATGCCATGCCATGTACAATGGCAGCCAGCGGGGGGAAAACGCCGATGGTCAAATCAAAGCACGAATGACCAAAAAACAACAAGGAAATGAACAACTTTATATGCAGGATAATGGCCAGGACATCATGGTGGCGGCAACTCCTCACATATGCCACCTCCTTGTCTGTGTTGGCGGCACTCAAGCAGGCCGAAATTTATTACGGCCATGAGGCTAAAAGGCGAAAGCCGAGTGTGCGAGTCTCACACTTGAAGTTCGGACAACTATTTGGCTCTATTCGAAATCATTGACCAAAATTCTTAAGTAATCAAACTGAAAGTTTCACTCCGATAAGAGCTTTCCACTTGCCCAGATAAATACAAATCATGCAAACTGGCCAAAAAGCCGAAGCACCAAGCCAAGTTCAACATGACTTTTCAATTTTGGAATGTGTTTAATGGGCAACGGTTTGGAGTATCAGTAACCCAAGTGTGTCATGTGTGCCATGTGTGTGAGCAGCTGATTGCCTCCGTTAATGGAAATTGCAGCTTTATTCCATTCCTCCCCCCCTTTGGAAAATAAAATCACAAAAGTTCGTATCGCAAAAAGTTGGGCGCCAAACCAAGTTGGGTGGCAACTTTTAATGGCACACTAAAATAATGAAAGCAAAAACTTAATCAAACCAGGTCCAGGTAACAGATTTGTGCTCTGTGTTCAATCGATATGCCATGGCAATAGTGATGGCAGCCTCGTTTTTACCAGGAGCTACGAATAAGTTTCTCTTTACCCAGACAAAACATATTCTATAGAATGTAGGGTAGGTTACTTAAATGCTATGAATTAAATATTATAGTTACATTTTCCCATAATAGAACCAAATGGTTCCTAGAAAAGGATAATATTACCCACCTTCCTACCGCTGAAAAAAGGCACAGACCCACGCTGTCACGTGTGTGCGACAATTAAAGGGAAGCGCAACCTGCGGAATTACGTGGAAAAGTGCGGGGAAAATATGGGAAAAATTGTCGCCAGCGGTTGCCAAGGTACAGAGCACGTAATGAAAATATTGCTCACATGTAAATACATACGTATGTATATATGTATATCCTTTTGAGCTGGGTGCGGTTTATGTAAGGGAATAAGATGGGTGGAAGGTGGGTGGAGGTGGAATTTGGGGCACCCAAAAGGTGTTTGTATGCGATGCCTGATTGCAAACAGCTTCCCGTTGCGGCACGCGCCTAATTAAATTAGAGAACGCAGCATTTTGGGCTCAATTGAAGATGCAGATGAGAACGGGGATTCCTGGGGCTAAGCAGGAGCTGTGGGACACTGGGAAAATCCGCAAACAAAGCAAGTGTAAAGAGCGATCCCAGCGGAAGGAGTGCCGGGGTGGCGCTTGGCATGTGTCCTGTCATCGATTTCCTTGCTTTGTACTCTCCAAGGACCAAAGCATATTTTTGCCAAGCGAAATTATGCACACATTTTTCGATCCTAGTTGTTGTGCCCCGTGTGTGTGCCCCTGTGTGTATGTGTGTTGGCAAACAAAGTCGTGCAAATATGTGCACACACACATCCAGGAGGAGGTGTGGATAGTGGAAGTTGGAGAAACCCTCGCCCATCGCCGGCTTGTTAGTGCTTTTCTAATGCAAAATAAGCCAAAAAACAAAGCAAAGGCCAACGGCAGCATCTATCCAGCTTCCAGTCATGGTCACATGCCATCCGTTCTCCGCTCTCGACTTTTCCCACAACCACATACAGAGAGGGAAAAAGTATTGATTTTAAAGAGTAAAAGACTAATACTTTCAAATACTAACTCTTTAAGGATAAGGAATGTACTTAAAAATAACATTCCTACCAGGAACTGATGTTTTTTTTACATTCTTTACATTTATCAAGAGAATTATAGTACTTCCATTAAGTTCAGGTAGTTTTTTGTGTTACCCAACCATTAAACTGACATTTTTCTCTGTGCATTCTCCCAATTTCAATGTGCTTTTGCTAAATTTCTCACAGATTAAGGATTTTTCCAGCTGCAGTTGAAGTCGTCGAGTCGACCAAGTTGAGTTGTTGTGATGTGTTTTTCTTTTTGGTCGCCTTGCTTGTTTCACTGCCAGGAGTGAGCCACGCGGAAGGGGAGGAGCACAGGAGGAGGTCATGGCCGTGCTTTCCCAGCCTTCGGGGTATGAAAGACTTTGGCCTGCAAACAGCATTCATTATGCATGCATTTTAAATTGTAAATTTCACTACCTTGCATTCACCGAACTCAACCCCGAAGAGTCCCAGACTATTCCCGGCTGCCAAAATGGATTTTGGTGGCCAGGCAGAGGTCCTGGCCGTTCCGGCTCATGCTTCTCGTTCCGGGCCAAGATGCTGTCGGCTTTGGGCCAGGCTAAGACCTGCTGATGCGCTTGATGAGCTTTTGGCCATATTGTTTGAATTTTTACGGACCCAGAGGCTTAGATCGCCGGAGCGTGAGTCCCATTTCCCCGGGCATCTCCTTCCGTTGGCATTTGCCAAGAATAATACTTCCAAATTTAATTGTGCCCGGAAAGGCAGAAGCAAGGCGATGGCCTTATTTTTCGGTTGGTCGACACCTGGCCGCCACTTTCCTCACTTAACAGACCGACTTAATTTGTTAATGAGTTAATCTTTTTGATGCAGTAAACGCGTAGCGTTTGAGTTAATTTGCAGAATCGGTATTCCGACATCAATTTGTGGCCATTTAAAGGGGACCCAAAAACTTCAAACTGCTTAAAAAGTATTAAGGCTAGTGAGGAAGGGGCCACCCAAATTGAATATCTCCGTTCAGAATTTGCCATGACAACTGGCTGAAGCGAAGGCAAGCTCCAAGGACGAGGAGGAGTCATCGAAAAGTTTGTGGCGCCTGGAAACTTTTGTCAGTATGTTATGCGAGTCAGTCCGTTTCGAAGGGGGCATAGATCAAAAACGCAAAAATGGGTTAGGTTAGGGGCTCAGGCCGGGGCTCAACTTGGGTCTGATGGCGATGATGGAGATGACGATAATGGGCATTCAGGCAAATGGGCAAATCCGAGCCAGGGACACTCCGCACTCCACAGTCCATAGTCCCAAGTCCGGACAGGTTGCCATTGTTGGCAAGTGGCAACAAAGTCAGGCAAACAAAATCCAACCAGAGATATATCTCTGTCTACGGACTTCATACCTCCCTTAACACACATGCCAAAGCCTTTTGGGTCAGAAACTTTTCAAATACCTAATCCCCATGCCACAGGACGTAGATGGAGGACCAAAGACGAAGGCTTAGGGCCAGGTCTCCGTTTCAGCCCGATTATAAATAGAAAATCGTCCGCTTTCTTTTTCTTTGGGGGTCAAGCGTGAGTGTGTGGCGTCCCGTCCATAAGTCTGCCTCCTAAGCTGATTCTCAGCTCTATTAATAGCTGATTGGCCCGGCAAGCAGCACCTGGC